CAAGTCATGCATTCCCAAAGAAGAGTAATACCTGATCAAACCAAGGGCATCAAAACCACCAAGACTTTATGGGCTACCAAAAATGCACAAACCTGATGTCCCATTAAGACCCATAGTTAGTACAGTAGGATCTGCCACGTACAGATCAGCACGAAACAAATACAGCCCTCCATTGGTAGGACCTCTTCATTCATAAAAACTCTGAACATCGCGTAAATATAATTAAAGATATTAAGCTTAACCCTAATGGTATTCTCGTAAGTTTTGATGTAACCTCTCTGTTCATGAGCGTTCCGGTCAACGAGTCAATTGAATTACTCGACACTGGTAACGAACAAAAGTTTAGCCAAAGATATGCCAAGTCGAGCTGAACACTGTCTAAATAACACTTACTTCTTGTGGCAAGGTGACTTCTATAAACAAATAAAGGAGCAGCAATGGGCTCTCCATTGTCTCCTGTAATAGGGAATTTGTACATGGAAGATTTTGAAACAAAAGTGTGGGAGTCGGAGTGATGGTTTTAGGGGTGGGGTGTTTCTTTGATTGGGGACTTGCGGGGTGGGGGGGGGGGTGTTTGTGTGATAGTGGTTGCACGTGTGTGGGATTGGATTAGCTCGAGGGCATGGGGGGGGGAAACTCGTGGGTATCCCATGCTAATTAAATTGGGGAGGGGCCCAAGGGTGTGATTGAATAAAAGGCCCCGCCGCGGGGCATTTCATTCTGCTCCTTGGCTTGTTCTAGGCAGCGCCTGTGCTAGAGATGGGGACTGAGGCGGGCGAGATGTATTCCACTACTGATCCTGCTCAAAGTGGTCTGCTGATCCTGCTCGAGGTCGCTGGGACTGACCATGCTCGGGGAAAGGGGACTGATCTACTGAGTGTTCTGTTTCAGAGCCGGGCGATGCTTCGGGCGTGCCTTCGGGGTTTTGCTCAGCAGTCTTTTCCCCCCGCCCCCACCCCCAACGTTCGTGGTGGAAGAAGTCGGTGAAGCCGTGGTCGTCGGGTGGTTGTATGACGGTGTTGGTTGTGGTGTTACGAGGGTTATTTGGGTTGGTATAGTGGCTTGCGATGTGTGCACTCCTCAGGGGAAGTAGTAAGCCTGTTGCCCTTTGACAATGTAAGATTTGTGTAGAGATTGAATTCTAAGTAAACTCTATACATTTGGAATATACCGGCAGTGGTCTTGGTGATATTCTGCACACGGTCATTTCGGACGTCGCTTAAAATAGGAGCCCAAGCATAATTTAAATAACAGTGATGCTAGCTAGGGTTATGGATGCAAACTGAAATGCCCTAAAGCATGTCCCAAAAGGACTCGCTGTTACAAAAAGCAATCGCTTCAAGCATACTAAAACCATATGCTTGGTTTAGATATGTAGATGACATATTGGTGGTCTGGCCACACGGCAAAAATACACTGAACGCATTTCTTAATCATCTCAACCCGCAAAACCTATCCATTTCAGTTAACCGTGGAAGTGGAAGCTGACAGAACTCTACCATTTCTGGATATTCTGCTCGGATGGGGTCGTAATGGTAAACTAAGTGTTTACCAAAAGAAAACACATACTGACGCCTATCTGAATGCAGTCGTACCATCACCACGCACATAAATCTGCTCTTATCAAGACGCTCATTCATCGAGCTAAGAAAGTGTCAGATAGTGACGGTCTGATAAGTGAAATTCAACATTTTGAAGAAGTGCTGCAAATGAACGGTTACAATGATGCACAAATCAACAGGGCATTGAATACCAAAATAAAATAACAAGAGCATTGAAACTGCCAAAGCAATTAAAACGATCAAAATACTGTACATTGCGGGAGTAACTGATAAACTAGCTAGATGCTTTGAAAAACAAAACATCCGAGTCAGATTTGGCACGGTACATCAAATACAAATTAATCTGGTACAAAATATGTATTACAGAAGGTGTGTACATGATTAACTGCATGCGTGGTAAACAGGACGAATGATCAGCACGAAACTAAAAGAACATCAGAGATATATAAAATTATCCTAAATACAACAAGGACACAATTGATTTTGATAATGTTGAAGTTGTGTGCAAAACTAGCTGCTACTGGCCAAGACTAATTGAAGAATCTATCGAAATAAAAAATAACTTTAACCGTTCAGATAGCTACCGCCTTAGTGCTGCGTGGAAGAGAATCATCAAATAATACATTCTTTAAATACATGCCTACAAAGGGCAGCGTACTTCAATAGGGATTACCGTTGGTAGGGCTATTTTAATAAACACAATAGACAGGAAGGACAAGTTCAAAAGGCTTGTATTATGCACATTTCCGGAATAATTCCCCCCCCCCCTCACATTGTGCAAGAGTGCAGAAGCGTGGTCGCCACATCTACGCCTCTATATAAGGAACGAACGAAACGGTAAGACTTCTCCATAAATCTGGCTGTCGCCTGATGAAGCTAGTTGTTATTACTGGCGAAACGTCGTACTCAGATTGTAAATGTGTTTTTTTGCTCTCCAAGACTAGTATGCTGTACTCGTGACGAATTGACGTGTTCTGTTTAAGTGACAGCCCTTACTCGTTGGCTGTGTCGGGTGGTGGCGGGTTTTAACGGCACATTTACACAATCTAACCCAAAAACCTTTATGGAAACAATGCCCCCAACGCTCATCAAAGGACGTCGCTGATTGGCCGAGGCCCGGTCAGACCACTTTGGAGCTCGCCGATTTTGTCGAAATTAGCCGTTGCAGGCTCGTTGTAAGCCCGTTGTTGAAAGGGGAATGGTCGGTTGGCGAACACGCTGGGCTCTATGGAGGCCTGTCGTTAAACGAAAACAATGCCCCCAACGCTTTAGTCGTTAACAGGGGTGGTCGTTAAGAGGGTTTCTACTGCACTCGATCTATGGGTCGACTGGGAATGAATAGGCACAGTGAGTAACCCTGTATTTTATGTTTGTTTACACCCCGTTTCTATTAAATTGAAGACTTGTTTTCTGATGTCTGTTTTTTTTATCTTAAACGTGTTTTATAAGTGACCGATTTGATCTAAACTTTATTCAATCGGTGCAAACATCAAATTGCATGTTAAACATGCACTTCTTTTGCACCATAAGTAGCCAACTGTGCTCCTCGGCAGCGCGGTGCATATCTTTTTTTTAAACAGAGGCCTTTGTTAATCTACAGCTGGATGAAGGTCTCGCCTAACCTTCCTCACCTCTAATTCACCATCAGCATAATTAGCCAGGGTCTCTCCACTGCTGGATGAATGCCTCACTCCCCTAGCCTCCGCTCTCTTTCTAATTCACCATGAGCATCATCAACCAGGGTTTATCCACGGATGGATGAATGCCTCACTCCGCTAGCCTTCTCCCCTCCGCTAATTCACTATCAGCACCATCAGCCAGGGTATCTCCACTGCTGAATTAAGGCCTCCCCAAGCCTTCACTAATACACCAACTGCAGCCATGATCTATCCAACGCTGTCTGATTAGCCATACTTCACTACGCTGACCAATGCACTGGCCGCCACTGTCACCAGTGGCCTTTGGCAAAGTACGCCGGGGCTGCTGTTCTTCATCACGAGATCCGCAAGTTCACAGAACCACGCTGAGCTGGCACCAAGGAGCTCTGCCCCCGAATCGCCCTCGCCCCTTCAGCGCTAGGGATCCCTCACAGACTCTGCACCAGGGCAAGGAAAACCCTGGTGCGTGCGCCCCGCGGACACGAAGGCCGGCACGCGGCGCTGCAGGTGGGCAGTGGTGTGAGCGCTGCCCGATGGCACCACCAGCGTCCTATTTATTGACGCAGAGTGGCGCTCCGTGCCACTCGGTCAGGGAGCCGATTTCCACCTGGGGGTCACCCCATGGAGCACACGGAACCCGTGCCATGCGTCTCCAGCACCGCGCGCCGTCTTTACCACCACGACCACCATCTGCGGGTGAGTCGACAGCTTCAGCTGCTCGACTGTCTCAACCACTGCTCTGAAAGTTTGCTCTGTGAGGGCCCCGTGCTGTGCCTGTCGCCTTCAGGATTGGCTCTTGCTTGAGAGAGTTTCTCCTCCTGCTGTTGTTTTTTTCTTCTTTCTGAATTGTCTGGAACCAGTAGAGCGGACTGCTGCTTGTATCATAACCTGCGATCTGTGTTTTTATCCCATTATCACTCAACCAATCAAACTGACTGATACTGTAATCTCATCCATCACACACAACACACCCCTGTACTTTATCAAACCATGGCACCATCCATATTGTTGACTCTTCCTCGAGTCTACAATATTCTCCAATTTCATATCATCGTGCGTTTCATAAGGCCACCTGTCACTTGTACCTGGACACTTACTCTTAGGCATTTCTCTACTTATCAGAAAATGCCATTTTGGACTGCACTCTATTACTACATTATAAAACGAAAAATATGTATATTGTTGATTAGATTGGGTGTTGATACCCATATTGGTCCCATTAGCACCAAATATTCTCCATTACTCACCTGTAACTCAATATAGTTCAAAACAGAGAGTAGCCAGAGGCAACTCATAGTGGTGTCTTGTTGAGGGCGCAGAACGGAGAGAGTAGGCAAGAGCGAGGATCCAGCCCAGGTCTCTATACTCTCACCAAGAATGCTGCCAGCTGAAGCTTGAGTGCTGGCTTCCCAGCTGAAGTTCAGTGGAGCAGATGTGCTGTCCAGTCGTGGGCTCTGAGGACTGCGTGTGTCAGGATTGCATAGCACCATAGGCGCAAGTGAAGTGCTGACTTTACGTCCTATATGTGTGGCCTTGTGGTTGTATTTATCTAGGGTGTGTGGCACGATTTGAGGTGCTGCTCACATCTCCATTTTTGTGTTTTTGATTGTTTGGACTCGCTGAATGAAATTTTATATAAGATCGGACACTCACAGAGTCAAGTTTAAGATGAAGTAGGGCATCGCAATACATTGGTTTTATATGCACTCACTGAATGAAGTGTAATACAAAATATAACATAATAAAGTTAAATATGAAGTTGGAAATCGGAATGCAATGGTCTGGTATGTAATCAAATTAACTTTAATAGAAGATCTGACACTCACTGAATCAAGTTAAATATAAATATTTGTATCATTTCATTGTTTCCCTTCTATGTGACTTTACCGAAAGAACCAAGAATATGAATCACTGCAGTCACGAAAGCTTTAAATCAAAATATAAAGTAGCATATTGTAATACACTGAATCGTAGCGATTATAAAAGCAAACATGAGCATACGATTTCTTCATGAGCATAAAACGGACATTTTTACACTGCGACTTTATATAGCAGTCTGATCGATTAGACATTATATATATATATTTTTTTAAAACGTCAAAATACCGTCATTTTGTATGCTCCGTGAACCGCAGAATGTATTCTATATACAAGCGACCCCGCACCTATGATCTAATTGGTTCCTGGACAACGGTCGCAAGTCGAGCCGCTATAAGTCGAACCCTTATTTCCCATAGGCGCAATGTTATAAATTGGGGTTCCGTTCCTGGAAACCCATTATATACCATACAAATACCAAAATTAACCACGAAAATAAAAGAAATAACCCTAACGAACATTTACTAAGTAAAAACAAACTTATTTGAAAATCCGTAAGTACTTTTTCTGCATGTGCATCACATCTCCTATTCCCAGATGTAGCAAAAGGCGAAACTTCTAAATTTGAAGAGAGTTTACAAAGTGAAGGGCGTTGGGAAAGAGATGTTGTGTTCACTCATGGAGCAGCTGCAGACTGTCGGGCTATACTGTACATACGCATACGGCAAGATAACAAAGCAGCGTCGGTAGCAGTCGTTAGGCGGTTGTAGATACGAGTTTTGGTCGTTACCGTGGGAGTCTTAATTAAGATAAGAAATGCCGTAAAAGCGGGGGGTCGCAAGTAGAATGGTCATAATTCAGGGGTCACCTGTAAATAAATAAATTAATTAATAGCCATGTATGTAGATCCACATTGTAAAAAAATCACTTCAGGTGATTTATAAGATTTATTGAAAACCTTTGCCCTGGCGAAAGACCCAAAGTATAATAATGAACTAGTCTAACATTAAAACTATTTTTTTTCATGAAGGCTGCCCGATCGACTTTAAGATGACTGCTGGATCGACTAAGGAGAATCCATAAAATTATCCTCGATTTACAATCCACAAGACGATATTGGGGCAAAAAACGCCCCTTCAGGCATCACCACGCAAACATTCTACTAACAAAATTTCAGAGTCATAAGTTCAACCGCCGTGCAATAGATGGTGGTGGCATCTACATCTGCAGAACATAAAAAACAGTGGCATCTACATCTACAAGAGAGTATACAAATTTAAAAGCCATTCCCCGTGTTTAGTTTACATGCCGTATAACATGTTTGAAATTAACAGGAGTAAAATTGGACTTACAAAAAAATCAACTTACGAACAAACCTCTGGAACCTAACTCGTTTGTATGTAAAGGAGTACCTGTACTTTCGTATTACAGTGCCTAGGTGGCAAGATGTTGACGACCTCACCTGATATGCAGGGTTTTGTGGGTTCGATCCCGACCCTGATGCCTGCTGTATATTTGGAGTTTGCATGTGCTGCCCGTGATCATCTGGATTTTTCACCAAGTCCACCAAGTTTTAGAAACATGCATTTTGAATATTTGGTTGCTATAAATTTCAACGTAATAAGCCACTTCGTTGAGCTTTTATTTGTGATAGCCAGGTTCCTTCTGACAAAGATCTATACAGCTCAGTGGACTTTACCTGATAAAATAAATTTATATTTTGCCTTTATTTGTTGTTTCACTTGCATATGCATATATTCCTTCAAACCCGGCGTTGTTATTTTCCCTGAATTCCCCAGTGACCTCACTCTTTCCATCATGCACTTTGTTCAAAGTTTCCCCAGGGTGTCCAGCACCTGCTTTGCCCTCTTCTCAATCACCTCGGAGTACTTGAGCAGGTTCGTGTCTTGTATCAGCTCGGAGCTACTGGGGTAGTTCCATATCTTCTTCCACGACTTGTAGTGCTGCACCACAGCCTCGGAATCCTGCACTCTCTTGATTCCATAGCCTGGCCTGAGAGCTAGGACCTGGTGGACATCGTGAAACTGGACACCCCTTGGCTGCACGATCGTCTTGCTGGCCAACTCATTGGGGGGGTAGGTAACCTTCACCACGTGATCCAGGATGTTGGTGCCTTGGGCTCGGTAGCCGGAGCGCGAGGTCCACAAAGCCGTCTCCACCACAGGGAAGTTGTGCATGCGGAAGTAGTATGCGGATATTGTGGGCTCGTCCAATTCCTCCATCATCTGGGTCCAGTTGTACCACTTCCTGGGAACTACAATCTCATCCACGTCATGCATAGTCAAGTACCGCGCCCGGTACATGTTCCTGTACATGCAGTCGTTCATGGTAGCAATCTGCCCGTAGTAGTGCAAATCGCCCGGGTCGACATTGATGTTCCAACCAGTGGACGGTTTTAGGAAGTCAGTGATGGGCCACTGCAGCACGTTCACGAAGCCTGAGCGCATGTAATGGCGCAGCACTGCATCCATCTGTGGGCTCACACTTGAGTTGTAGACGGTGACAAAGCTAGCTCCCAGCAGCCGGTAACACTCCATGCTCTGCACAAACAGCAGCACGTTGTTAAAGCTGTTGAAGAAGGCGGGAAGGCATACGCCAAAGTGCTGCTCAGGCAGAGAGGGCTCGCGGTTCTGCACAGGCATCAGCACCGAGGAGGTGGAGGTAGAGGTGTCATCGTCTTGCCCCATGACCACTAGAACAACATGACTCGGAGGAGTTACTCCTTTGGGAATGCGGCACAGGAAGTTGAAGACGGCGTACTCGAAGGAGTAGTGGTTGCTCAGCATGGTGGCCTCCGCACTCACATTGGCGCACCGCGGCGAAGGCTCCTCTTGCCAGTAGACCATCCTGCAGGCAATTGCCACGTGCTCATCCAGCGTTCTGGTCGGGGCCAGGGCGAAGACGCGGATCAGGTCGTGGCTGTCTTCGCGAACATCCAGGTATGCCGAGAATGCGAGAATCTTTGTGGAGCCAACCCTGTGGAATCGCACGTCTGGCATGGATTCTCGGTACGTGTCAGGAGCACACGTGGGACTTTTTGGGTGAAGCTCTGGGCTGAGCTGGGTCACCTGGGGCAAGTGCAGGAAGCCAAGATGTCCAACCTGGCATGTGGTGAAAAAGACTCCGTAAGTTTATCATCGTCATTACACAGAAGTTTATAAACATTTTGTAGCAACTGGTGGTGGTACGGCTGAGTGGTGGAAGAATTGCCTATTGTTTCAGATATTGTGGTTTGAACCAAGCGGTATCCCTGGTTAACACGCGATTTATTCACCAGAAGATGTGAACTTCTTAACATTAGACATGAGAGCATGACATGAGATGTCTGCATTCCTTTGATAAAAAAAAAATTGGCATATGTGGGCAATATATCTAAGCTGGTGAAGCATTCTGGTCACAACAGAGAATGTTTCTCCAATCTCGGGCAACTCTCGTAATCATTACTCAAGACGAAGGTATTACCTTTCAGGAAACAAATTAAGCGTACAAGTGTCCAAGTTGGCTCGTTGCTTTGTTTTGTGCCAACAAGAGACAACTCTGGCTTGATTGCGCTATGCTGAAGGAAGTTGGAGGTCATCTAATCGTGCATGTTCGTAAGACATGCTGCTAAGGAGCCACGAATAGGAGCGCCCTCCCTACCAATACAGCTGCGTAATGTTGCTGTAGGAATAGTAAGGCGTTTTGATTCCAATGTAAAATAAATCTGACTTTTCATTTCATGTAATTGATTAGGATTTGTGGTCTCATTAGTACCACAGTGGTGGAGGTCGTGGGTTCGATCCCAATCGTAACGCCTGTATATTTGTAGTTTGTATGTTCTCCCCGTGGTCACATGGATTTTTCTCCAGGTCCTCCGGTTTTTCCCTCCACATTTACAAACGTGCATTTCGAGTATTTGGCTGCTACTGTAATGGGTCTACCAGGTGAGGATTGAGACGACACACTCTTCTTTATTTTTCACACAAGCTCGCGCCGCGTGCAACCACTCCACTCCAAATCCCACCAGGAAGCGCTCCAATTACCCCGCCTCATGCGGTGACATCACCACTTTTTCCCTGGGCGTTCCCTCTCTTTCATGCACCGCATTCTCTTTCCTTCATGACGTTATCTCAAGTGTTACCTGAGATCCCGTAGGTATTTCTACCCCTGGATTGCGTAAGTATTAGCACTACACTCCGAAAATGGCTGCTACTATAAATGATTCTGACCCTGATCCTGCAGTAGATTTAGAGTATGCTTGTCTCTCTCACCCCGTGGTCGTGTGGATTATCTTTTGTCACGGTCCTCCGGTTTTTCTGATACAAATTTAGAATCAACAGCGTTTAAAGTATTTGCCATGTGATAAGCCATTTCTTTCAGCTATCATTTGTCACCTGGTCGTTTCTGAAAAAGAGCTATAGTTTAGAGAGGCTTATCTGAAAAATAAAAAGCTTAGTTTAGCATAATCCGGTCGAACTTTATTTGATACAAGATCAGCCTCTAAATATTGACCTCGATTACACACAATGTGTGCTCTGCCTGTCAAGTATGACTCGAATCGATACAATGCCACGTCGTCACAGCTTATACAAGTCTTCAAACGACTGCGCATCATGCCATAATCAACCGTGTCAAAAGTCACCTATTAGAGCTAAATGGACAAGAGCCGAGGCTGAGGCACAGTGACCACTGACCAGGAGGTTTAATACCAACCATAACGACTACTTTTCGATTTAAAGCTTTCGTGACTGCAATGATTCATCTTCTTTGGTTCTTTCGGTAAAGTCACGTAGAATGAGAATAAAATAATAAATTGATAAAATAAAATAACACAATAATATTCTCACGACGTTTCGGCCACAACACAAGCGGCCTTCACCAGACAGTCTCGCCCCCTTCAGCTGATGAAGGCCGCTTGTGTTGTGGCCGAAACGTCGTGAGAATATTATTGTGTTATTTTATTTTATCAATTTATTATTTTATTCTCATTCTACGTGACTTTACCGAAAGAACCAAAGAAGACATAACGACTACTGTTAAACTACAGTGCCTACACCGAACACAGATTGACAAAGTGTCTAGAAAAAATATCAACCATTGTGCTTTAAGATCCGTAATGCACATAGCCAGATGCTCCAGTAATTTAGACACAAAATTGTAGATTGAAATGTGGAAATGGTTTCATAAATGATCCCAACTGCTCCAACCGTTTTAAACACAGGTCGTCTAATGACACGTTTAATCCCAGGGTGACATTGCCAAGTCACAATTGTACATTTTTAATGCGGGCCAAGTGGTGACTCAAGTTCAGTGCCACATTGATGAACTGTGTATCACGGCCAGGAATGCAATGGACAGATCATTGGTCGCATACCCTCTAGTATCTGTAAAACCGCCATACTTTGTGTTTCGTTTTGTGTTGCATTTATGTTCATGTATATATCTGTGTTGTGGACACTGACCTGGAATCGGGATGTGAAACCCAAGATGAAGAAGATGATGATAATAAATGGCACCAACAGTTTCCACTTCCTTTTACCCTCCATGGCGGAGTGGCAAGAGCGATTATTGTTTGTCCTTAGGATTTGACAGGGTTCTGAGAAAACAACAACATTAATATAATGTTATGATTGCTATGATATGACACTGTGGAGAAAGGGGATTTACTATAAGAGTTATTGTAAATATTGTGCTTATGAGTGTAGAACAAGGGAAAGGGTTAACCCATAAAACCACTCCTTATGAATGGCCGCTAAAATGGTATAAGCCATATTTCATAACGAGTCACAAGGCGCTTGAAGACTCAAGCAGCCATCTTGAGACACGAGGTCTTTTCTCGAAGGAGAATAATTTTAATGTTTGGGCCTGAGGCCAGTTAGTTAGTTGTTACACCGGTTGTATATTGGAGAGCAAACCCGCAACATTTACAATTTGAGTACAAAATTTCACCGGTGATTACAACCGGTGTGCTGAAGTTGTCACCAATTGGCATGTTTTGTTTAAGTGACACGCCTTATTAATAATGTTTTGTGTCGGGTGGAGCTGAAATTTACGACACATTTACATTTACACAATCTAAGACAAAAAACAAACACGTTATTATGAACAACACCAGTCGCGGAAGCCTACGTGTTAAACCTCCAGATGTCTCCGATCGTTTTCAGTACAACTTAATACGTACGGCGTCCATTGCATAACGCACGACATGCATGCCTGAAAACCAGTGCGCAAGGTGAAATGGCGCTGCAAGAAGCTCATTTTCCTTGAGACATTGTGCATTTGATACGCGTGGTTGTGTTACTGAACAAAAATGAAGCATCATGTATTTTCATTGTTTTATCCCTGGATTTACAAAACACGTATGAATCTAATATTTAATAATAGTAATGCAATTAACATTATAAAAAAGAACTGAATAAAGATTTAGAGCTTTCGTGACTGCAGGGATTTATATTCTTGGTTCTTTCGGTAAAGTCACGTAGAAGGGAAACAATAAAATAATAAAAAATATATAAAACAATAAAATTCTCACGACGTTTCGACTGCAACACAAACAGTGGTTTTCACACCTGATGATGACTGCTTGTGTTGCAGTCAGAACGTCGTGAGAATTTTATTGTTGTATATTTTTTATTATTTTATTGTTTCCCTTCTACGTGACTTTACCGAAGGAACCAAGAAAATAACTGAATAAGGAGTTTAACAACAATCAAAATAAGTTAACACTAAACAGATTACTACTGCATAATAAACTTTTTTTTGGGTTAGAGCGCGTAAGTATAAATGTGTCATAACCCTCCACCACCCGACACAGCCAGTAAGGTTTGTCATGCAAACAAAACATGCCAATTAGTTACTACTTCAGCCAACCGGTGTGTTGGAGAGTAAATCCACAACAATTACAATTTAAATACGACGTTTCACTGCTAATTATATCAAGCACCATTGTGCAATTTGCCAGAATAGTGAAACTTATTCACCTATCTTAAATGGAGCACGATGACGCCATCACTGTGAGCAAATCAGATACGGACATCAGAGGAGTCAGGGGGGCGTATTGTAAATATATAAGAATCGATTGTTAATAACAGTTGAATAACATGTGTTGCTTTTCAAGGAATGCAGTTGTAAGGTGTATTACTTAATAATACGCTACCAGGTCGCACAAAGCATGTAGCCGTCAGAGCGGTTAAAATTATTTCTATTTCTCGAAATTTCAATAGATTCTAGACTTAGTCTCGGCCAGTAATAATTAGTTTTACACAAAACTTCAACGTTATCAAAATAAATTGAATGTTTTTGTTTTGCAAGCATATTTTGCAACTGCTGACAGATGTTTTTTGAGTATTTCGTATTTTTCTGTGTTCTTTAGTCTTACGCATTTACCACACGAGAAATTAATCTGACACACACCTTCTGCTGAAAACTTTAGCCATTCATTTTTAGTACAAGATGCTCATTTTGGAATGTTGTTTACCGTGCCAAATCTTACTCAGATTTTTTGTTTTTCCAAAACTCTAGCTAGTTTGTCAGTTCTGGCCAAAAAACAGATGTTAAGATGTTCAAATACCAAACAGAAACCTTTTGCAAAGAATCATGCCTGCAGTAACCACGCATACTTGTGGTGAACATGCAAACAAAAACATGCTCTGGCAATATATACATTGTCTGTAAAACTGATTGGTCTACACCAGAGACAGCCTTCTTTAGGACCGAGTCTCAACCAGTGTTAGACCAGGGAGACAGCACATAGACAATGCAATTATCAAAGCATGAATAGCTCTGGTTGAGCAGTTACATCTATGGGACTTGTTGCCAGTATCACCGGAATTTAGTTTTGTAACTCATCAAAGTTTGCACTCATTCAGGACACAAGGGAGAACACATTCCTAAAGATACTATCATTAATCTAGCACACTGTACAACTGCTTTAGATGAAAAAAAAATGGACAACTGGCTTCGCTTACGGTGAACAGTACATAGATATCGCTGCTCTCCCCGAGCTGTAGATGCTCTGATAAGTGCATTGTCTTTGTACTGTTCACCGTTTGGCATTCTCTGTTCTAACACTGGTTGACACTAGGTCCTAAAGAAGGCTGTCTCTGATGTAGACCAATCGGTGTCAAAGACAATGCATATACTACCAGAGCATAGTTTTATTTGCATGTTCACCACAAGTATATGTGTTTACTACAGACATGATTCATTGCAGAAAGTTTCTGTTTGGTGTTTGAATATCTTAACACCTGTTTTATTTCCAGTACTTTGATACTGGAAAGAAAGTTACATGTTGTAGTTTGTCAGTTACTCCCACAATGTATGGTATTTGAATTGCTTTAATAACAGCGTCACTTTCAGCATTATTGCAGTTCGATCTTGGTTTGGCATTCAATGCTCTGATTTAAAACTTTAGTGACAGCAGGAATTCATATTGTTTGGTTCTTTTGGTGAAGTCACGTAGATAGAAAACAACACGATGTTTCGATCGCAACACAAGCGGTCGTCCGCTTGTGTTGCGATCGAAAAGTCGTGAGTTTTTTATGGGAAAGGCTTTCCCACCTGATGACGGACGCTTGTGTTGTGCCCGAAACGTCGTGATTTATTTTGTTGTATACCTACGTGACTTTACCGAAATAACCAAAGAGTATGGATTCCTGCAGTCACGAAAGCTTAAAATCATGTTTAATCTCGCTGCTCAGACTTTCACCATCTCACACTGCTTTAGCCCAATGTATGAGGGTCTTGATAAGAGGGAATTTCTGTGTGGGGTGATTATGTTAATCTGCATTCAGATAGGCATCAGTGTGCATTTCCTTTCAGTAAACGCTGTGTGTTATTTTACCTATTAGGCCACGTCTAAGCAAAATATCCAGGAATGGGAGTGTGTTATCTACCTCCACTTCATTGGTGAACTGGATGGCCGTGTTTTTAAAAATGAGATGATTTGGAAATTCATTAAGTGTATATTTACCATGTGGCCAGACAACCAAAGTGCAATCTACATATCTAAACCAAAAATGTGTTTACTGTACTTGTAGCAAGTGCTCTTGCTTCAAAATTTTCAATGTACAGGTTCGCAATGGTAGGAGAAAAATGAAAGCCCATTGCTGCTCCTTCATTTTGTTTAAGAAATAAGTATTATTTCGACAATGCTCAGCTAATTTTTTAAAATATTTTCGTAAACCTGTCTTATTTACCAGCACTGCACCTGATTTGAGTTAAGTGATGACGTCACCCTGCTGCTCTATATAAACCGGGAGCAAGCGAGGGCTTTACCATTCTGGCGAATTGCCCGATGATGCTGGATGTATTTACCAGCGAAACGTCGTACTCAAACTGTAAATGTGGATTCACTCTTCAACACACCGGTGGGCTAAAGTAGTGAATTATTTGTCAAGATAGCGCCGATGATGGCAGCCTCGGCCGGTTGGTGCGCCCTGTTTTGTCCAGTTTTGTCTTGTTTTGTCTTGAGAGGGGCTTGCTGTTCAACACACTCGTGCTGGTGAGAGAGGCCTGCTGTTCATCACACCCGTGCTGGTGAGAGAGGCCTGCTGTTTTGGGGCCTGCTGTTCATCACACCCGTGCTGGTGAGAGAGGCCTGCTGTTCAGTACACCCGTGTTGAGGGGCCTGCTGTTCAGCACACCCTTGCTGGTGAGAGGGGCCTGCTGTTCAACACACCCGTGCTGGTGAGAGGGGCCTGCTGTTCAACACACCCGTGCTGGTGAGAGGGGCCTGCTGTTCAGCACACCCGTGCTGGTGAGAGAGGCCTGCTGTTCATCACACCCGTGCTGGTGAGAGAGGCCTGCTGTTCAGCACACCCATGCTGGTGAGAGGGGCCTGCTGTTGATCACATCCGTGTTGGTGAGAGGGGCCTGCTGTTCAGCACACCGGTGCTGGTGAGAGAGGCCTGCTGTTCAGCACACCCGTGTTGAGGGGCCTGCTGTTCAGCACACCCGTGCTGGTGAGAGGGGCCTGCTGTTGAGGGGCCTACTGTTCAGCACACCCGTGTTGGTGAGAGAGGCCTGCTGTTCAGCACACCCGTGTTGAGGGGCCTACTGTTCAGCACACCCGTGCTGGTGAGAGGGGCCTGCTGTTCAACAGACCCGTGCTGGTGAGAGGGGCCTACTGTTCAGCACACCCGTGCTGGTGAGAGGGGCCTGCTGTTCAACACACCCGTGCTGGTGAGAGGGGCCTGCTGTTCAACACACCCGTGCTGGTGAGAGGGGCCTGCTGTTCAACACACCCGTGCTGGTGAGAGGGGCCTGCTGTTCATCACACCCGTGCTGGTGAGAGAGGCCTACTATTCATCACACCCGTGCTGGTGTGAGGGGCGTGCTGTTCATCACCCCCGTGTTGGTGAGAGGGGCCTGCTGTTCACTGCCATGCTGGTGAGAGAGGCCTACTGTTCATCACACCCGTGTTGGTGAGAGGGGCCTGCTGTTCACCACTCCCATGCTGGTGAGAGGGGCCTACTGTTCAACACACCAGTGCTGGTGAGAGAGTCCTGCTGTTCAGCACACCCGTGCTGGTGCGAAGATGGCGCTGATGATGGTAGCCTCAGCCGGTCGGTGCGCCCTGTTTTGTCTTGTTTTGTC